AAAAAAAAAAAAAAAAAAAAAAAAAAAAAAAAAAAAAAAAAAAATCAGAGAAATTTCGAGACAATTAAAATATTTTAATCGATCGACGAACAAAACCAGATTTGTTTTTACGTTTTACAATTTTTATGTTTTATTTTTAGCATAATTTCGATCAACTTAGACCCGTTCTCCGCGTAACGTTTCATTAATAGAAATATTTTATCGATCGATCAAGCCTCTCGCCAGAAGACGTTTCGATAAAGTTAGGAGAATGGAAATTGGGATACGAATCGAAACGCGACGAACCATTGCCTTTCCAAATCATCGACGTGTCGTCCATCAGTATACATCCCGGTTACAAACAAGGACACGGAGGATACGACCTAGCGATCTTACATCTCAACAGTCCCATCATTCTCGATCTTCATATAAATCCTTTGTGTTTACCCGATTCAAAGTATCTATCACGAAACGACAGACCGTGCATCTCAACCGGTTGGGGAAAATCCATCCTTCAAGGTAATATTATTTATATATATATATCGATAATCGTAAACTCGATTCTCTCGAGAATCAAAAAATCTCAAAGGAGAGCGTCATCGAGTTCATTTTCTCTTACTTAGCTAAAATACTTATCGCCGTTATATATTCGCGCATCGGATATCATTATTCGAACGCTAATAAAATTCATCGTATCTCGTAAACGATACAATTAAACGAGACATACGTTCACGTTAATTCTCTTTTTGCACGTTTTCGATTCGTAAAATTCGACAAAAATAATCGGAGAAAACACACACAGAAATCGTACGAAATAATCGAAAAGAGGACGTAGAATCGAAACGATCAATCGATCAATCGCACGTTTGGTTTCAGCACATTACGCCGGTGCAATCATGCGCGCAGTCGACATGGACGTATTGTCGAGGGAACGTTGCAAGGAACAATCGCTAAGGACAAATTTGGAAGTCAACGACGTGGAAGGAATTATCTGCGTTACACCTAAAAAAGAAATTAATAACGTTTGCGAAACGGATATCGGAGGTCCTCTCGCTTGTCAAAACAAAGACGGTTCTTACGAATTGGCTGGAATTTATAGTCGAGATACGGGATGTCTTCCAACGAATCAAGTAAGACGTTTCTCAATTACTCTTTTCGGAATTACTCATTACTCGATATTTCAATCGATAAAAAATCGATTTCAGATCGCCGTGTTCGCTCCGTTAGACGTATCATGGTTAAAACGAGTAACGTTCGAATCTTCATCCGAGAAAAGAAAAACAAACTCGACGCACGACGAAGAATCTTCTTCAAAGGATTATAGGAAGAGCACTTTGATCACGGATAATCAATATCTACCTCCAAGTCGAAAATGAATCAATCGATACATTTTATTCGCAAATTTATTATCACAATATTATTATTTAATATTTCGTTACTTCGTTTTATACAATAATTATTAATAAAATTATCAATCTTTTATCACGATCTACATCTTCATCGAATCGAACGAACGGCTAATTTAATTAATTCCGAACGTCGCATATCAGTTTAGAAAGAAAAATACGATAGAATCGATACATACATTTAAATTTACGTACGTACATTTAAATTTAAAGCAACATATCTTTACGACGATTTCCTTTTTTTTTTTACTCAACGAAATAATCGAATCGCAGAAGAAAATTTAAAGAAACGTCGCAACAATCTCAACGAGATCGAGAAGATAGAATTTTTAAATCTCTATATCGTCGTTTATAATCGTTAAAACGTTACATCGTTACATCTTTATACTCGTCGTATTTTTTTTCTCGAAAGCACATTTGTACGATTATTTTTCGTATTCAAATTTTTAAATTCGATTTAAAGTACGATTAAACGGTATTTCATTTCGATAATTTTAACGATGTTTCGAAACATTCGAAACGTAAAAGAAAGAGAAAAAAATGCGTAAATCGAAAATGAAACGAAAAAAGGGAACAATTCGATATTCTTTCGACGATGATTATGTTCCTTATTTTCTTCAAATCTAATTTACCCAAATCTACGGTTTAGAGAATTATTTTTATCCTTAGATTCGACTCGTTTCGTTCTTCGTTTCATCATATCCTCGTATTCGAGAAATCTTCGATCCTCCCTTTTATCGATTCACGTATTCATAATTATATTCTTATACTTTTATACTTTATTTATTCAACGATCATTTAAATTTCAATATTTCATTCATACATTATAATAAAATCCCGATAAAATCTTTAATCGAGAAGCAAAAAGGAATACGTCCGTGTTCGGAAAACGACTACGTTTAACCGATACGTATGCAATAATAATCGACGTCGCGTCGCAAACGTTCACGTTCGTTATAATATTCGTAAGATTATTAATTTTTATTTCACTTTATCAATCCTTATCACGATGTTTTTTTTTCAATTTATGAGATTTACGAAAAGATTCAACGATATTTTTCTCTTTATCCTTTTTTTATTCCGGAGATCGAA